TCGGTAGGACTTTTGTGCATGGGTGGTTCAATTGCAAAGTGGACTCAGAGTGGAGTGGCTCTCCTCTCTCTGGCTGCAGGTGGCTTTGCTGCACCAGGTATGGCAAGCCGTTTTAACATAAATTCGGTTTCGTCTGACTATCCGTAATTACATTCCAGATATCTAAAATTGCATTTTGACTAGACAAAACTACATTTTGACTATCCGGAATGGTAATTTAAGATATCTCTATTTACATTCTGACTAGGAAGAATAATAATTCAAGATATCTTCAATTACATTTTGACTAGTCAAAATTCCTTTCAAGATATCTCAAGTGACGTCACCGGATTAGTCATTGGAAGGGTCACACATCCGTAATTATAATTTAAGATATCTCGAACGTAATTATGAGTAGTCAGAATTACAATTTTAGATATCTGAATTAAGAGGCCCTCTTTGGCTGTACTGAGCTGTCAAACAATTGCCTCAACATTCAATGGCGCTGGCAGTTTTGGACAAAATTGTAAGAAAATGCCACAATATAGAAAGAGCTCTTCAGTATGGGATATGCGGAGAGCGCGAAAATCGTGTACTTGAAGAATGCTTAAGAAATTTGCAAAGAATTTCTGATTTACTTTCTACCGACACACACAATGTACGGTGGCCGACAGGTGCAAATGCGCAGCAAAAGAGAAAACGTGCAAACAAAAAAAAAAAGACACCCCCGAATATAATGCAGAAAACAAAAAGAGAGACGCAAACAAAAAAGAAGACGCCCCCGAATGAAATGCAGCAAACAAAAAGAGAGACGCGAACAAAAAAGAAGACGCCCCCGAATGAAATGCAGCAAACAAAAAGTGTTGAAAACGGAAGTGCTCCAGACCACTAGGGGGAGTCAAAGAAAATAGTATTCATTTCTATGGGACCAGATGCAAGATTCAGAGAAAGAAATTTGAAAGAAAGTAAAGGTACGTATTACTATATTTCTTTTTTACATACGCCGTCTTTTATAATATTATAGAATAACAGAATAATTTATGGGTAGCGTGATAGACTTTGTGTCAGTCATACCGTTCTGGGCTCGGTCTCGTAGATGCTTGCCCGAATTAGCAAAGCAATTATGCTAATCATACCGCAAGAAA